GCTCGACGATCGCGCGCGCACCGGGGTCTTCCCGGTCACGTGTCCCCTCTCGTCTTGCTCGCGCTTACGCGGCACGCTCGAACGGAAGCGCACCCGACCGTACCGCGCGCGGACTCGTCATGTAATTTGAAATTGCGAGCAGCAATTAACGCCTTTTTTTTCTCTTGGTTTGCTTACTTTTTTTCTCGTTTTCTATTTTTCTAATTTTCGAAGGAGAAGAAATAATTTTGATTTTTTAGATATTGGTTTTTTGTATCGGGATATTTCCTTTTTTCTTTCTTTCCTCTTCAAGAAGAAATGTGAAGAGTTGGTTCGAAGGTTGATCATAGTTTAGAGGTTGAAGATGGACAACGGGTGAAATTTTAAGCAAGATTGTGCAAATTGAATGATTAAGATTTAAGGTGGTTGAGGGATACGATTCAGTGAGATGTGAGCCGAGGATGGAGCTGAAGATCAGCATACTGCTTCTGGCGCTTCTACGCCTCGCCAGCACCCTCGAGAGTAAGGATGATTTATCTTTACACGCGGCTTATGGTTTGTAGTAGACGGTGTCTGGGCTGGCTTTAACCATAAATTTTTGGATCCTTGCGAGTTCTTCTGGTAAATAGTGATTCAACGGTTTGAAGTTTGCAATTTGGAAACCTCGTATCAAACACGATTTCTTCCTCCCACATGCATACATTATACAAGAGTTTGATCTCAATTGTTACGAAGTTGTTGGTGTTTGCTGTTGGTATAGAGAACTTTTGGCGCGTTTGCATTGCTGTTCCGTGAAAACTTTCCTTATCACGATACGTCTTGAACTGGTTAGGAAAACCAGATCCAAAACTTTTCCAATTATTAATAAAGTTTTGTAAACTTATTGAGCTTCCTCTTTAAAATTCCTCTTTTATAAATGATTTTCACAATTAACTCGACGAGAAAAAGGAACGATAGAAATGTGTGGTCCAAAAAAATATAATAAAAGTTCCATTGTATTTGAATCCACCATCGAACGAGCACGAAGATTAACACGTAACCAAAAAACTGAGCAGAATGCAAATTAACGTTGATTCTACGCGTCCGCGACACCGGAGGCAATTAATCATATCCCGAAAAGAGGATCGCGAAAATACGCTGCGAGTGAATTAATTCCAAAATTTTCGTATCCTATAGGAAAGCTCGAAAAAAAAAAACAGCAAAACAATTTCACAACGATAATTTATACAATCACAAAAAACGCAAAAATCAAATCGACATCGATATGATAAAACTTAACAAAAAAAATCTCGCTCAAAAAATTCAATCTCTCTGGATAAAAATAAATTCTAAGAAACGTTTAACATTATTCTAAAAAAAAAAAAAAAATTAATTCATAAATATCTCGGTAAAACGGCGAAACAATCTATAAAGAATTCTCTATAGAATTGGACTTCTATTCAAAGAGAGAAAAATTCGAACATTCCGATTAATTATTTAATCATCGTCCCAAAAAGAGGATCGTAAAAATCCAAATAAATCGATTCTCAAATTCCTCCATAAGAACCTCGACAAAGCAACAATTTCTCCACGATAATATATTACTCGATGTTGGGCCACGAAAAATTGACCAAGAGTCGTATAAAACCCCGTGTGATGTGAGCTAAAACTTAACAACTCCTGTGAAAACTTTACGCTTACGAGAACGTCGCGTTAGAACACATCCAACCCAAACATCCCCCATTCGAAAGAGATATATTCGCAGTGGCGAATTTACTCGTGCTAACGTTGATATTCTACAAAGCCCGGGGCTTGGGATCGTGACATGTTTTCCCGCGAGCGTGACAACGGGGGTAATCGTATCTCGGTTTACTGCTTCAAGTCAAACAAGCAGTCGCGATCGCCTAGCCGTGCCGGGTAATAAAGTTTCAGGGCTGGACTTGGCGTGCAACGTGGATAAAAGAGGAATGTAAACGTAAAAGACTAAAAGATATACCCTAAGCGAGTGGATCGCGCTGACTGATACACGACGTAAAATCCCGTGCGCATCGTTAAACCGGGCTTTACCGTTTCCATCGCGCGACGTCTAAATTTACCGTGGCCGGTGTCGCGATGTTGGCAGAAACATTCGATCGAGTTTGCGTATCAAGCGTGCGTAGTTTGGCCTGTTAGAGGATGAAGATGAGGATGAAGGGATGGAGCGGATCTCTTGGATGGCTCGTTGAATTAACTCTTTACGAGTTATTTTATATGTACGAGTATCAGATATTCGATCTTCATCGAGTGTTTAAGCGTTGGAAAGTGGAAATGGATGGACAGTCTGAAATTCGAGAGAAGAAGGATTAAGGGAAAATTATAATCTATAAATATTATAAAATAAAATTATAACAATTATATATTTTTATTCGAAAATTAAATAATAATTATTGTTATAGAAATGGATTAATTATTAGAAGATATGGGATGAAGTATAATAAAGAAATTTTATTATAGTATAAGTTCGTATTTTTCTTTGAAAATTATTAGCTAGTAATTATTGTATACAATTGAATTGCTTGGAAATTTATAAAAGAACCTATACAATTAAAAAATCACGAGAAATTTAAAAAGAAATAAGAATTAGAAAAATTCTAACTAAACATTTTACCTTGTTAGTTTATAAAAAGAAATACCAGTTAATCCATAAATGTTTTTACCTTCGACCATGAAAATAACATAAAATTAGAACGATTCTCTTCTTTACACACTCTGCGCCTACCCTATTCTCTTTCAACCTTCATTTTTCCCCCGCATTTAATGCGCCCGAAGTTACGCACGTTGATCATTTATTCATAGTTCGCGGGAACTTCCCTCGAGCTCCTATAATTGGATTAATCATTCAAACCCCACTTTCGCCAACTTTTATCGTTTCGTTCATTCAATAAAACTCTTTCTAAAGATCTTTCGCTCGATATTTGAGGGAACTACCCGCGGTGTTCAAAAATCTCACCCTTTATTTCCAGACACGAAGGAGGAAGAGGAAGCGGAGGAGGATGATGAGGATAATTATCCCGTGGACGATTATGACTACGGTGACTACGAGAGCGCGACGATAACCAGCGATATCGATCTTATCGCCGGTGGCTCGTTGCCGATCTTCCTGGCCGAGCCTGTTGACACGTTCGTGGTGAAGGGGAAACCTGCAACCCTTCATTGCCGCGCGGCTCATGCTCTTCAGGTAATAAACGCGAAACAGATCTGAAAACTCAATATAGATTGAATTTGAAAAATAAAATTTTGATATAACTGTCAGACATATTACATTGCAATAGATATGCAATGATTTTATTTTTAATTTTTTAAATACTGAGATGTGTGCATGTGTTCGAGGATCGTTCTTTTTTTTTTTTTAAATAGTATAATAACGCAATTAATTTTAATAATTCGTAAATATTAATCTTCTTATTATTTTATATAATGTTATGAACAAAAGATTCATACAAAAATTATTTGGAAGATGTATTATAGCTCTTTATAAATAAAAGTTATAGGAAGGTTAATTTTGATTCTTTGAATTGTATTAACGGATGCACCTTCTTATTTTCTGCAAAAAATATTATTATATCAGAAAATGATCGATTTAAGAGATATTGTAAATTGAATTTTACAGAATTTATTATTAATTCTATAAAAATTTTAATAGTACAATATTTCACATGTTTTCTTTCATACAATAATTTCAAGTTCCAATATCTTCCAAATTAATGATTTTTCGATAAAAGATAACGAGCTGCAATTAAATTAAATTAGATAAGATTAGTTAATGATTTCACGTAAAATTGACGTATCCATCCTCAAAAAACATAAACGATAAATTTTCGCATGATAAACGAAAATATAACTAGCATTAGCCTGAAATATGCTTCCTTCCCGACGCGCACATATCTGATTCATATAAAAAAGTTTCATCTCTGTACAAACGCCGCTTGAAATCTCACTTTAATGAATCTCACTAACTTCAAAGAACTTGGAAACACCACTTCGCATGTCCCAATTTTCCTGAAAATTCAAAATTGCAGCGGTTCATCGGGCAACAACCTCTACAACGAAATAACCTACTAAGATCTCGTTAGAACTCCGTACTCTATGAAACAATAGAATTCGTTAGATAGAACGTTAGA